ATCCCCAATATTACATCAAAATGATCAATGTTCAATGCTAGTAAATCAATAAACAGATGTGCATCTCCAATAATAATTTCACAAGCAGGATACGTATATGCACAGGTCATAGATCCCCCAACGGGTGATGATACAGCTAACAGATAATTCATAGGTTCTAAGGATCTATTCAATTTACGCGAAAAAGCATGCAACACATAGGAATGCGTAGACCCCGAATCAATCAGTACATAAGCATTCTAAGTACAAATAGAGAGAATACCTGACACAACGGTCTCGGTGTTCTGGACGTCTCCCGGTACTAGGGCGAACACTCGGCCCTGCCTCATAGGCTCTTTCCCGGTAGCTTTGGGGTTCGGTTTTGGTGTAACAGTTGATGCCGCTACGCTTGGTGTAGCTTTACTACTAGCTTGTGGAGCAGAGGGACAGTCTTTAACCATATGGCCCACCTTGCCACACCTGTAACAGACTCCTGATATCTTGTAACAGACTCCCTTGTGATTTTTACCACATTCAGAACAAGGCGGTATTGTACGGTTTCCTTGACTAGACATAGTCGTTGACCCCGTATTCTGTTTCTTGTTCAATGGACTATGCTTGCCTTTCTTAAATTTAAATCCCTGCCTTTTCCCACGCCATTCAGACAATGGTGTTTCAGTTTTCAATGCTTCAATGTTTGATTCAGCCATCAAGGCTCTGTCAAGAACATTCACATAGTTTGGTAGCTTCAGTACATTTATTCTGTCAAGAATTGCAACATTCAGGCCGCCTTCAAATTTTCTGGCCTTCTTATAATCAGTATCCACCATATGCGGTGCATATCTAGCAAGCTCGGTGAACTTCGTTTCATATTCAGCCACAGACATTGCCCCTTGTCTCAGCTGTTCAAACTCAGTTACTTTTCTGTCCCTTACACACTGAGGGAAGTACTTTTCAAAGAAGGCTCCTTTGAATTGAGCCCAAGTCAGAACGGTATTTCCATCACGGATGAGCATCCACCACCTTTTAGCTTCTTCTTGCAATGTAAAGGTGGCTAACAGTACTGTGTGTGCTTCAGAGCATGGGAAAACTTCAAACAATTTTTCAGTCTCCAGAACCCAAGCTTCAACTTTTAACGGTTCAAGGCCTCCCTGAAAGGATGGCAGTTTCATTTTGCTGAACTTCTGAGTGAGAGCAATTATGTCCCCATCATTTACATTTACATTCTGTTCCGGTACAACCGGAGGAGGGGGTGTGGGCTGTTGATTCAGTTATTGGTCCAGTCTTGCAGTTATCAGTTCCATCATTTGTTCCAGTTTGGCCATTCTGGCCTCAGAGGATGAGGATTCAGTTTCATTTGTAGTGTTTGCGTTATCCATTTCACTATAAGCAGTTATAACCGTTTTAAACATAAGCAGTCATTTGTTTAACAGTTTAACACATTAGCATATATTCAGTCAGTGCATGTATCAGTTAGTCATATCACACACTTACCATGCTCATAAGATGCCCTAATTACTTTTCTAGGACACCCTATAGCTCATTTGGACACGTGTGTGCGGTATAACTCGTGGTAAGTATCGCTCTGATACCACTCTGTCACGACCCAAACCCGGCCCTATGGGTTTAGCACCGTAACCGGCCAGTAATCCGAGATTACCGAAGGCCTACAGAACAGTAATACAGTAAACAGAGTACAGGGCCTGGCGGAAGCCAATACAGTAAATAAACAATGTCCAATGAGCTATGACAGTCTGTATGCAAAAAGAACTTTTCATACATATACACGTAAACAGTATAGAACAGTATGTACAATATTTACATTCATTCAGAATAGGGACTCAATCCCTTATAGAGCAGTACAGTACAGTGCTATCAGTCTATACAGTTCACAAAACAGATACAGAGACAGAAGGGGGAAATAAAAGACCCCTAAGCCATAGCATGGCAGGCTCGGAACCTCGCAGTGAGGCATAGTAGTTGGCTCGACAAAACTGGAGTAACCCTGACGCTCCTAGCCGCGGTCTGGTGCCTGAACACCTACATATATACGCACCACAGTCTGTCTGCCTTCTTGATCGCCATCTCTGCAGCCACTTTACAATCATATCTAACAAAACCAAACCTAGATCTTGTTGCTTGCCTTCTCTTCCCTGGAATGAACACATCCTTTACTATGCCAAACTTGCAAAATAGATTAAATAGTCCTTTAGGATCCAAGGATTTTGGAATATTATCCAGGAAAATGGTGATCAACCCTGCCTCCTTACGTAGTCCTCTCTGCCAGCCCACTTTTCTCCTGTATATCACTGGGTTCCATCCACCTCTCTCCATTTTTTACTCATCTCATCATTTTGTAACTGTAATACCAACAACAATGGATCTCCTGATGAAATTTGAGTAGTATTTATGAGGGTAAATTACAATTAGGAATAACGCAGGGAAGAAACATAAGATCCTATTCACTGTCAAAACGGGTACGCTTCCAACCATTTTCACATTCGCATTTGAAGTTGAATGTGCTGTTAAGTGCTACACTGCAATTTTATTAATAAAATTATTTGATAAGAGGAATAAATTATCACTTTAATTTTCTTACGGAGAGAGTGTGTGCATTGTAGTATTTCCTCTTACTGTCACTTTTACTAAATTTAGAAAGGGGTACCTTAAATGTTAGTGTTAGTAGCCTACTTGTTTTTATTTTCTTATTTTTTTGGTGGGATAATTTGAAGATCACAATTTCATTGTGAAGTTGACTCATTATGAGACTAATTTAAATCTATTTTTGTGATTTAAATTGCTCATCTCACATATTTTATTGAGAAAATTATCAATGTAAAAAAGTGAGTTAAATTAATATCGATTGCCATACCATCAGGTCATTTTTATATATTCGCTATATATGTTTTTAAAAATAGACAATTCATTTGTTATAATATTATCAATGTTAAAAAGTAAGTCAAATTAATATCGATTGCCATACCATCAGGTCATTTTTATATATTCGCTATATATGTTTTTAAAAATAGACAATTCATTTGTTATAATATTATCAATGTTAAAAAGTAAGTCAAATTAATATCGATTGCCATACCATCAG